TGAGGCAACGGCATGTACAAATATTGCGTATACGCCATGTAATAAATAAAACAAGCGGCGAACGAGCCAATGCAGAGAAAACAGCCTCAGCTGCTGCTGCTGGTACTGCTGCCATTGCCTGAGTCTTTTGCTGGCTTGGCACTGCCAAACAGTTTCCAACTGAATGACTTTATATCTACGACTCGAGCTACATTTGCCACAGATGCCTTGGATATCGAGCATCCGCATCGTTGCCCTTTGCTGTTGGCCCCGCTAATACCCAAGCCAGCACCACCAGCAGCGTCAGGAGCATTCAGCTAGCTGCTCGTTTGTGCCAGTTTGCTCGTTTACAGGCTTTTACCTGAAACTATTACCCACTTGCCGACTCAGTTGGTTTGTCAGTCAGTCAGTCAGTCGCCCATTTGCAAAGTCTGCTTGCCTGTATTATATAGCTAGATACTGGATCCTGGATGAGGATGCGGATGCGGATGCAGGGTCCTTATGCAATCAACATTCGACTCGTTACAACTTTTCGTTGCAAATCTTTTTGTTGCCCATCTGCAGCTAGTTGCTTATCTGATTACATATTTATCTACAATTTATACATAATTTTTGCATCAGTTCATTTCAGAGAGCAAAATACTTTAAGCTCTTTCTGCTTTGCTATTAAAGTGCAGCCAGGGATGCAGCAACTGTGTCTACGGAAACTGTGGCACAAAACAATCCATCAGGCCACGCATCTTTCCCCTCGCAATCCCTGTGGCATAAAACTGTCAAAAACTTGTGATGAGTGCGCAAATCTCACACGCAACATATCCACAGCTAACTTTTGTATTGGTTTCTTGGTTCCTTAAAGTTATACTTTAACTCTGCGGTGAAAAAACTACCAAACATTCAGTAAGAGCAAGAAAAACAATGATGAATTTGCCCACAAAGCTACTGAAAATGTTTCAGAAAATATGTGGCCCGAAACAAAAGTAAAGTGAATACTGACACACAAGGTACACATTTGTGTGTTTATATTTGTATGTATATGTTTGCATGATGAAATGTGCGTCATTTTTCATACAATAACATGCACGACTTAAGTTGGGCGTTAGTGAAGCATCGAAGGAATATGGGGATATGAATAAAGCACAAACTATTCGCAAGATTTTTAGATGCCCTCAGTTTCTTTAAGCTTACACATTGTATGTAGATTAAAAAAAAATATATGAAAAAAAAGTAATAATAATAAATATATTTAAAGTTACTGGAATACAATCTACATATTTTAAATAATCACATATCTAATTAAAACAATAACCAACAGAAATAAAAGGACGCGCAAGCCTGAACACTAAACAAAGTAATAATGTAATATTTGAAATAAGAATTACACATTAACATACAAAAACAAATTTAATTTTTGTATTTTTAATTAAATGATAATCTAATAAAATACACGTCCACAGGCCCAATATACAATGGTTGCCATAGATAAGAGTATCAACAGGTACGCAAACATCCATTCGTAGACATAGGAACTAGCAACTTTAACTATAATCTCAGAACACACAACCTTTGAGGAAATGAACATAACACACCCCCCTTCCTTCTGAACAGAAAGCAAGCCGATGGGCGGGACATGAAGTGAACCACATGTCAATGTCAAAGGCGATGACAAAGACAAATTCACTTCTCAGGCGGCACATGTGGGGATACAGTTTTGAAACTGATACCTAGTCCCGAGTTATACGATAAAAGTGTATATAGAATACGCTTGAACCACTTGACGTACAAATTTAAATACAAAAATGTTTCGTCGGGCTGTTTTCTTTAATCGAAAATTCCAAACATGATGCTTCTGCTGCCGCTTTTTCTGAATTTAATGCACCGCTTGACGAAGACACGCATATATATACACACACACACACACACACGCCCACACACACACATACACACGCATGGAGCTCAAATGGCGCCAAATTCCGTCCGGCAATCAACTAAATTCAAAGCAAATTGTCCGCACTGTGAATTTGGGCCATGATTGTAACTGTAGACAGCGGTTGGATGAGGGCGAGGGATTGACGGCTGGGTTAGGGGGAGTCGGCAAGGGCAAACAAGCAAACGCCTCATTATTTTGCGCTTGAGAAATTTCTGTCTCGTCACTAATTCATCATTGTTTCGGCACATTAAATGCTTGAACGTCAACGCATTCATTATCTTATGGCCAACAACAACAACTGGGCATTTGGCCAACTCATCGCCGGCTCGCTCACATGGTCAGCTATCTATCTGTCAGTTGGTCGTGGCCAGGGCAACTCTCATGCCTGAGTGATATTAACTGACCGACAATCCGTCAGCGTGAGCGTTGCCATAAGAAAGCCAAAAACAAACGCACGACTTGGCCAAAGCATTGGGCTTAAGCCAGATTTGGGCTTGAGCATGTTACATATTTGCGGCTGTTGGCTGTTGGCTGTTTGCCCACGTCATTTGGTCGAGAAATCCTTTTTAATTTCTTTGCATATATATATATGTATATATATATATATATATGTGAGTGTGTGTGTGTGTCTGCCTATCTGTGTGTGCTTAGCATGTTAATTGCTTTCTAAGCTAATCGAATTTTTTGCTCGTCATTATGAGTAATGTGTGTCGAGAACGCTGGCATAAAGCAATTTGTCGACTAACTTTCTGTATGGCAAATTACTTTAAGCTTGCAAGGATTTTAGCTATTTATGAAAGCATAAATATTAAAGCCATGTTAATGTTGTGTCAGCCCAACAGTAAACCAAAAAAAAATATATACACAAAAACCAAATACTTATTTGCCCATGTCATTTGTACTTAATTTTACATGCAAACAAAACCAAATTGTAAACAAATAAATGCAAGAAAAAAAAGGGTATTTAATGCTTAAATGTTCATACACGTGTCCTCATTATAATATTTATCATAAGCACTTCAATTTACATATTTGATTACTTACCGTATTGATTGTCAATGTTTTTTGCACAGCTAACATCAGAATTCTGAAATCACAAAATATTGTATTGTATTAATTTTACTAAGTTAAACTATATATAAAAAAAAAATGTAATTGAAACATCCTCTTATTTATATACTCATCCAATTAAAGTGCGATTACAATTGTATTTAATAGACTTAAAATGAATAGTTAAATATTTTCGTGGAAAAACTATTTATTTCTGATCACCGCAGTCAATTTATTTGCACTTACAAATCGAATAGATGACATGTAGAAACTGTATTTGCATTAAAGATCATAGCTAATTTCCAGCAGGTTATCGGCTTTCAATTACTATTGTAAGCAATTACCCAAAGTTGATGAGCGAATTATCATGAATTCGAATTAATTAATGTTATGAAAGATACGCTTCCGGAATAAGTTCCACTACGGTGCTAATTTATGGAGCACATAAGTTCATTTTTGTTTGTCTGTTGTTCGTTGTAATTAGTCTTCGTTCAAGCCGTTGGACAGGACCATTAAATCCGGTCCTGCCACGGAACTCGGACACATAAACAAATGAAAAACTGTTGCTTCCGCTCGCTGCACAGGAGACAAACGCACGGAATGCAAGAGAGGAAGAGAGAGAGAGGGAGAGAGAAGGACAGATAGTGAGATATGCAATATGAGGAACTGCGATAGAGTTGGCTAATTATTTTGTCGGTTTGCAAAAGTTCATAGTTCAGATATAAAACATGCAACAATAACAACACCAACAATAATAATTACAATACGACAAGCACACAGTCAGCACTCTCAGCTTCTTCATTCGCCCTTGACCCCTCCCATTTCAGTAATTTTTATTATCAACCCAAGTAAAATAAACTTAATTAAGACCCACGTTCACTGCGGCGACTGTCCTTTGATTCATGACCTGCATTTGCGAAGCTGGCTGAAATGCAATAAAAAAATGTGCGAAAAAGGGAGCATTTTGTAAATGAAAAACCTTGTTAATAAAGTTGACCCTTAAGCAGGGTCAAAGCCATGAACGGATCCGCAGATTTCAGAGTATACATTTACAAAATGAAATGAATTAATAACAGTGGGTCTGATTGATAAATTACTCCGCTTTAATAGCTGGAGAATGTAATAATGTAAATATGTTCTTAGCAATAATGTTGTAAATCGGTGCTAATTATTTGAATTAGTTGTAGATATCTTTAAATATGACAAAGATACATCGCAGCCAAATCAATTGCTAAAATAGTAGGGTTTTTTTATAATCTAAATACATTCGATTAATATAATGCGGTATGAATTCATTTTCAATCATAAATTTTACATTGAAGCAGAAAACATTTTGACGAAAAACAATCAATATTTTAAATTACCATTTTAATCACCCACGCCACTATATTTTCACATAAGAATTGCATTGAAAAATATACAGTAAAATGTTGAATTAAATATAGTCAAAAATAATTTAGTTTAGTGTATAAAATGCTCTGTAGAATCGTATATATTTTCTTCCCAATCAAAATCTCTTAGTACAAGATTATTTACTTTATTATTAATAAGTGTTTATTGAATAATTTTGAGGGCATTCTCCACTTTATCTTTGCGCTATTTAAAATGTCTTAAAAAGACCAAGTCACACATATCCTGATTTTTAAATTTACAACTTTTTTATTGCAAAAAAAGGCTTAAAGCTGATCAAGTATCTAAGCTTTTAATAAAAGAATAGTGTGAAAAGTGCTGTGAATAGTCGTGGAATGCAAACAATGGGTCTTCCCATGGTAAAATCTCTTAATACACGATTGTTCAATTACAAATTAAAAACTAACCGAAACAATCAAGCCTTGTAAAAAATGATTGAAGCCAGTAAAACAGGTCGAGACATACATCTCATGCATTTTGAAGTAACATAATTGTTTCAATAAAGGGCTTGAAGATGATGATATATCTGAGCTTTTAATGTCATTAATATGCATTTAAGAATTGTGAAGATAACGGGCGACTATCAACAGCCAATTGACAAATAACCGCAATAACTGTGCGCATTTCATTGCAGCCATTCAGCCCATTGGGGCCCTGCATTTATCGAGCCTCTCCGTCCCGCGCATTATCGATGTCACACAAAAGGCCAAACTGTTCTGCGGCTATGAGATGGGCAATCGGACACTCAACTCAGTCAAATGGTACAAGGATGGAATGGAGTTTTTCAGGTATGTATGAAAGTTTCCCGTTAGCATCGGCATTGGCGTGGCTGTAAAACAAATAAAAGCAGCCATAAAAATATTTTCGGCTCTGGCTCGAAATAATAAAATAGTCGGCGAATGTGCCGGCGCATTCATGTAGATTTTATGGTGCAAATTGAAAACGTCATGAAATTGTAACACTGTCCGCAACAAAGTAATGCCAGCTAAGAGAGTGGAGGTGAAGTAATGGAGAGAGGAGGAGCTGGCTGTATACGCGTTCGTCCTGAAAGTGCCGCGACTAATTTAAATGCTTAATTGAAATGGATTTTTATGGACGCCAGAAATGTCGCTCAGGTGGCGCTGCCATTTCGACAGTACAGCACAGTACAGCACAGGACAGCACAATACAACACCCGCAATCCCATCGCCGTCATTCATGGCCCATATACAGGTCATGTTCAAATACGTGAAAAGCGCACTTTTTATTTAACTGGCTTAATTGTCGGGCAAAGGTCGGGCTTAATGGTGCGCAAAATTTTTGCCTTGTTTCGTACACGACAAATATTCAATATTTTTTTTTTTACAGTTTTACCATTGAATTTAAAGCCTTCTTAAGCCAATTGGTTATGTAACATATGTGGGCCAATGGCAGCACAATCAAATCTAAGCCAACCACTGCCGATTTTTATTGCCATTGTCATTAACTGGCATTTGTTTTTGACACTTAGTACCGAAAAGAAAAGTTATGCTTCTGGTGCATCGGTCTAATTGGTTAACTTGCTGGATTGCTACATTATAAGATGACTTAGCAATTCTTGCAATAAGTGTTAACTTAACATTTTAAATACCATCACATTTATTTTATTTTATGCTTTTTTATTTGTCATTTTGAATTTTTATAATTTTGTTGTAACTTTAATTTTAATTTAAAATTTTTAATTTCGTTTTTAAAACTGTTAAGCTATTTGTAATATATAAATTAATTTAAAAAATCGCATATTTTCAGAAATGTACGAAATACTGAATTTCTTCAACAAATAATGATAGGAAGAATCTGTCATTATTTGTCATTAAAAACATTAAAATTGTGATTATTGATAAAAAATATGCGCACAAATGACTCAACTGCAAAATATTATTATTATTATTTAAATCGAGAATATCTAAAACTTTCCAGTTCTTTCATTTTAAAAATTTATTCACAGATTGTTGTTTTCGCCGCAGTTATTGTATGCAATTTGAATTTTATTGTATTTTTTTTCTTTTTGTGATTCTTATTTCGAAATTGGAGCTATTGAAAAGCGCTAAGCCTGAAGCACAACGCCAGCCATTGAAAACGGCATAATATCCGCCTTATTCATAACAAAAAAAAATGTAGAAATGGAATAAAAAAGATACAGAACAAATCGTGAGGTGCGGCAACAAATCGATGGATTTGTTTTTGGACACCATTTGCGAAACGTTAGGGCAAATGCAGGAAAATCGCGAAACCTTTTTGCATGCGCTCATAAATATTTCATGGATTCGGTTTTTGCGCAGCACTCGAACTTCAAGCCGCTCTCTTTCTCTCTCTCTCTCACACACTCTTCTAACTATATTTATATATATATATATATATGTTTGTGTGTGTGTATATATTTGCAGATATTCGCCGCTAACGCCGCCGACAACAAATTGGTTTCCCGTCAAAGGTGTCACCATTGCCGAAGGCTCGTCGCATTGCAATCAATTCATCTGCAACGTGGAGCTGGAGAAGCTGAATGTGCACTCATCGGGCCAATACCGCTGCGAGGTGTCCGGCGATGCGCCCGAGTTCAAGCTGATCGATAAAGCAGCCAATATGACCGTTGGCGGTAAGTAGACGTCCCCAAATAACCCACAGGGCTTCCACTCCACTCGCTTGTAATGCTTGCTGTTTACTTGCATGATTTATTTGTGTGTGTGTGTGTGTTCCATACACACACAGCGGAGAGACAACAAATTATGTGCAATTTTGCAAACACTTAATAAAATTATAAATGGTCTTTGCACGGTTCGCCGCCAGCGGCTGGAGAAAGGGGGAGGGGGTTAGATAGCTCAGATCCTCTTCATTTATCATGTGGCAGACAGTAGTCGCGGTCGTCGAGTAGGCGCCTACACAGTTCAAAAGGATGCCGCTTAAGCGCAGCAAAATTGTGACACGCTTCAGCCATTTGTATGAGTAATGATTGTTAATAAATCCTGACCGACGATGCCTTCACCAGCCTCGCGAACCCACGTACAAGCCGCACACCACCTGCCTACACTCATAAAAAAAAAGACCTCAAAAAAAGATGGAAATCATACAAAATAAAAGACATATCAAAAACCGGAAATCTGACTAATTTCTAGACAGCATTTCTATGCTATATATTTCAGAAACAAAAAATAATAAATATATTTCTAAAAAGTAGAAAGGCAAGCTTCTTTGTTCAATAAGTTTTTCCCTAGCTACAGATCAAATAATTTTTATTTCTTATATACTCTGATATATTTGGAATTCCCTCGCGAGTGATTCACTGTGTTCGTCAAGTCAGCTGTGGAGTTCGAAACCACAGAAACCATATAGATTTTTGATTTGTTAACATCATTTCTACGCAATAAATTTCTTAAAATAATCATAAATATATTTCCAAAAAGTAGAAAAGCAAAGAAGTATTGTTTTTAGACAACTATGAGCTGACCTGACCCAACCAACCTTATCAATCTTACAAGCAATGAGCACAGCAACTTATACTTTTATAAATACATTATTCATATCTGAATATGATTATGATATAGAATTTAAAAAAGGTTTTTCTTAGTGTAGCTAGCGTACAAATTCAACTCAATTGTAAGCTGCGTACGAATCAATTTATAATCCAGCCCGCAAAAGCAGGCAGAGTTGTTGTCACGTGCACGCGGACGCTAGACAACAGGGATAACTCAAACGACAACAACAATAACAACAACAAGACAAACAACAACAGCGACAACAAGGACAACAACAATGGGTTACTCGTTTTTAGGGTTCTGGGGACGTGTAGTTATGGGTTTGTTAACGTCAACGCCACAGGGCCAATGATGGCCGCCATTTTGAACTCTCGCGCTCGCTTTGATTGGCAACGTACATGAAAACGCTGCCGCCGTTGTGGTTGTGTGCCAAAAGCAGCGGTGCTGATTGTGGCCAGGAGTGGCTGTGGCTCCGACTACGGCTACGACTCCGGCTTTGAAATTCAAATCAATTGATGCTGGGCCCAATGTCATTTGACGCAAATGAAAATGGCCTGCTTATGTCTTTTGTTGCACGCGGCGTATACGCGAGATGCGGCTCAAAATGATTTATTTGTCGCAATTTTCCTGCTCAGCGATTTGTTTGGTACTTCAGCAGCGTTACGTAGGATGATTTGGGGTGAGGCGGATTTGGAATGGGTATATGAGAGGGGGTTCAGTTTTATTTATTGTCGCTACTTTAAGAGTATTGATTTGCATAATGCGCACTTAAGCATTTGTTTACGCGTAACAATCAAATTTGAATTCGCATTTTCGTATTTGAATTTCGCCTTTAATTGGATGTTTTGGATGTTTGGGTATTTGCTTGGGCAGCCCCGCCTTCCATCGACTCCACTGCTTGTCGCCACTCTGTTGTCTGCGCTATTTGCATGTCAATTTGAATTTTATCTATTGTACTTAGGTATGCTAGTAAGCTGCTTTTAACTTGTTCAACATGCAAATAAAAACGACTAGATTAGATTCAAACGGCATTTTGACTTTATCAAAGCTCATAACTTGGGATTGTTTTCACCTGAGAGCGACATTTTGCTTTGATAAAGGACGCTGCTTATAATTATGAAATAAAGTGTGTCAAGTGTGTATATCTACATCTCAGAAGCTGTATTATATTGCAAAAACATTCATAATTCAGTTTTCAAATAAAATGTTTCCATAGTATATTATATATACGAATATATATTTGTTGTTATTAAGCCTAGCAAAGTCTATAAGGCTCTAAAATATCTTACTTTGTGCTGAGTTCATAATTATCAATTTCCAATAGACGATACTAACATTATGCAAGAGTCACAAAAATTTCCAAAAAGTGACCTTTCTAAAGCTGATATTAAAATACATATAAGTGTAAAAATAAAGCTAGAGAGAATATTTACAAATGTCAATAAATGAAGACATCCAACTTGATCACTCTTACAATCTGTGATTCCTTTGAACTTAAACTCTTAGAAATACAATATGCACATCTGAAAATATTTACAATATTCAATTTACTTTCAAATTGGACATATATCATACACACTCTTTAATACATAAAGAATTTTTCAAGAACCAACAAGAAAGTCATCGTCTGACTGCCACATAACAAAAATAACTAAATTTGAAACATTTTACGACTCATTTTTCACATATGCCACCTTCACTTGGCCACTTTAATTTTACACATATAACATGTATAAAAATATTTTGTTTTTTGTTTTTTTTTTTTGCTTGTGTTTGTGTGTGTATTGCCATAAAATGGACAATCCAAGCCATATATAAAATGAGGAGCAAACATTACCGCATATAAGAGCCAAGCAAGCCAACGTTGGCATCAAACTTCATCAACGAGCTGCTGACAAAGTTTAAGGACCGTTATCAAAACCCCTCTCCACCGACTGACCGACCACCTCTACCGCCCTAAAGTGTTGCATAAGAGAATATGTACCATGTCCGGTGCAGCACGTAGCTTCAATTTAATGCCCTGCCCTGTTCTCTAGTGTGGTGTAGTCTTGTGTCATATTCTGTAGTGCAGTGTAGAGTGGAAGAGTGTTGTGTTGTATAGTGTAGTGTAGTGTAGTGCAGTGGCTTGTAGCCAGTGTTTTGTTTCAATGGCGAAGAAGCTGTTGACAGACCAACAATCAACTTGGGAATTTCGACACCGAAGTGCCATCGCCAACCTGAAAAACTTTGACAAATCAGCAGCAAAAGTGGTTATAACAGTCGAGTGGGGCGCGGGGCGAAGGATGAGGGTATAGTTAACAGGTACGATGTCCTTGCTTTTCTAACGGCAATCACCTTGCTGCTCTTTGATGATGCGCTATTCGTTGGGGTGGTTGGTGTTAAAACTTTGCAGTGCAAATATTTTTCCGCTTAGTTGCGTGCCATGTGTTGCCGCACTGATTTACTTTCCAAAGTTTTGGCTCCGGATGTGATCTGTGTCCACAAAAGAGAGGCCGCTCTATGCACACACAGCAACACACCTAATTACTTTAGGGATTTGCCATACTACAAATACATATATATTTAAAGGTCAAGCCGCGCTCTTTATTCATACACAACCACATACTTTTGACTTTTTAATATGGGGTCATCAGTTTTGCAGAGTTTTCGCATCGGACTCTGGACTTGCACCCCAAAAGTGATTTCTACACCTGTTTTCAAAGCTCTTCCTGCTTTTCTTTCAGTATAAGTGTTGTTGCTGGCTGGTTTCTTCGTTTAGCATTCAGAACAATTTCCCCAACCGCCTTTGGTGTCGTTTGTTTCCTTTCTTTATTTTGGTTTTGTTGATGTTTTTGATTTTTTTTTTTCTCTTTTTTTTTGTTTATTTTGAGTTGCTTCAGTTTGTATTTTGTGTTTTACTGGTTTGGTACTTTGGTATTTTTGGTTTATTTATCCGAGTTGATTGCTTTGTTTTCGTACAATTTTCGTATCGCCGCATGCGGCGTGTTGTTGCCAAATTCAGTCACAGCTCTGTTTACCACAGGCCCCACTGGTGGTGAGCCGGGTACAACGGTACAACGGTACAACGGTACATCCTGTACTCCTGTTCACCTGTTCACCTGTTCACTTGTACTCCTGCCAACCTGTAACGTTCGGCTAGTCTAAAAGCAGCACAACATGCCCGCAATCATCAACTCATAGCTGGCAAAACACTCTTCAGTAAGTTCTTACTTCGAAAACAGGTCAGAGAAACTTTCCACCAAAGTGGTTTGTATTAAGTCAATTAAAAAGTTTATAGTACTGCTGACTGCCTGACATTTGATGGCGCTCCCTGTGCCCACTCCTATTCCCACCACAGCCACGCCTCCGGCTCCTTAGCATATTTTACAGCAACAAAAGCATTCAGCATTCAACATTTGACTGTAACTCAAACTTGGTTGATTTTTGTTCCAAGTTGTTGTTGTCGTTGTTGTTGTTGTTTATGTTGTGCCCAGTGTTTTGTGGTCGTGCTCAAGGCTGCCAGTTGTTGTTTCTGGTTGCTGTGGATTGTGACGGATACTTTGTGTTGGCCCACTCTCTGTGTATGTGTGTGTGTGTGTCGACGCAATAAAGCAAATTATTCTTGCGTTCTTCAAAAAAGTTTGTGCTGGGCAATTATTTGTAAAGATTAATTAACACTTTAAACAAATATTTAGACTGTTGGCGAGTTGATAATTACCTTGGCGGCTCGGTGTTCGGCCAACAATAGGTAAACGAGACTTTTTCAACCAGCAGCTAACGGAGTTTTACAGTTTCAGTTGCAGTATTCGTATTGGGTTGCACATTGCAGCCAAAATTACATTTAATTAAAATAAAATAAAACAAAATAATATAGTATTGACTTACTTTATAGATATAAGAGCTTTTGAAGAACTTAAACTAAACTCTTTTGTGATAGTGCTAAAATAAACTTTTGAAATATTATTTTATATTATATTATTCCATGAATCTGAAAATTAGATTAAAATACCCACTCAAATAATAATAAAAAAACAATTCATATTTCAATAATTTTGTAGTTTATTTTTAAATTATCCATAAAGACATAATTAAATATTACATAATTATGTTCATCAATAAAACATTCGCAATACATAATATGAAAGCTTAATTAAAATAGCAAAATAATAAAATAAAAATAAATATGTAGCTATAAAGTATAAACCTTAAGACCTTATATTCCATCTACCAACTGACATGTTTAAACGACGACTAATCGATATTAAGTGCAGCTGTCCACTGTTTATGTGTTAGTAACTGACAAAAAAGACTTCATTTCACATTTGCAGTACTGCCAAAATTCGATCCATTCATCACTGGAATTCGACATGCATATAAATATCGCGATACGCTGCTTGCCAACTGCAGTTCAGAATGGTCGAGTCCTGCGGCGAGGCTGACGTGGTACGTCAACAATAAAACGGTAAGTACATTTGGCCACATTACGCATACGTACCGTTGCACATTAGATAGCTGCGGTCAGGCTCTGCGCCACATGATTTCATATTTGTGGCTGCTTTGCATATCCTTGGCCATTTCATGCCACCCGTAAAGCCGCCGCACGCATAAATGCAAATCGAAAATTGCATGCGGCATGTGGTGTCCAATAAATGTTCGTCTATGTATGCGGCAGCATTTCACACTAAATGCTGGTCGATCGTTTTAATGCTCTGCGGCACATTCTCACCTCTCGTTTCCATTTCCATTTTCGTTATCGATTTCGTTGTCGTTTTCGTTTTTGTTTTTGGGGCAACGATGATTTCTTTGTGCAGGCACCGCTGACCAGCCTTCAACCGCAAATCAATGAAATCACACGCAACATCGAAGGATTTCCGCTATATGCCAGCAATCTGCAGCTGCGCCTCCACATCGATGACCAGCGATTCATTAGCAAAAGCGAGGTGCTCGAGCTACGTTGCAGCTCTGATATCATGGGCCTGACGCACTTGCGGCGCACAAGCTGGATGCGTACCACAATACTGGCGCTCAAGGATAGCGGCTACAATCAGCGACTGACCGAGAATGGCAACTGTGCCAGCGCCCGAGCAGGTTAGTAAAAGAACACCCTCCCCTCCATTGATTGGCATCTATTGAACGTCTCTTTAATTTCTCGTCCAATTTCTTTTTGCAGCCACATTGGGCTTCTGGCTGGTGTGCATCACAATCTTCCTGCGCTGGCACTGCACTCTGAGTTAGTAGCTGTCCCTGTTGGTGGCCTTCATTTTAGCCTAATTTCTAAGCCAAAACGATGAGCTGTTTTAGTTTTCAGCACCCGAACTTCGCCACGAATCAAAAGTTAACAAGCTAACAGTTGAATTTGTATATACATATTTAAATATATATATTTATATATATATATATATAATAATATTCGTATATCAAAGTATTTGCGTAGTTCAAAAATCGAATTAGCTTACGCAATTCCTTTTGATGTAATGCCAAAAATGTGTACGAGCACAAAAAAACAAATTGATGGATATAACTATTAATCGTAAAATAAAATATGACAAATTTAATTTGAAGAATATGCAACATGCATCAGTCGCAAATTACACATACATATGCAAATCACCTACATGTAAATCTAACAAATATAAATGCACATACGTACATATAAATGTATTTGCACACACACACACACACACTCATACAGATACACAGAGATAAATGACACTCAATCAATGTCAACTAAAAGTAAACATAATTATTAAATGTGAAATGTTAATGTATTTGTATTAAATATAATGTATGAGAAATAAAAATAAATTTCAAAGCAATGCTACTTTTTTTTATCATTTTGTATTATTATTTCATTGCCTGCCTACGATGGAAAATCAATTATCAAATGTATATTTGGGATTTATTTGAAAGGTTTATTTATTTATTAATAGTTCCTCTAGGGAAAAAAATAAGCAAAAGAAGCAGAAGAAACATAAAATAAAAAGTACTTTATATATATGGTTGCATTAAATATGTATTTATGATATTATGATATTCAAAAATTATAAATTATGGTATGATGTGATTCACTAATATATAATAAAGTTTTTTAAATTTATTAAAAAGCAAAACACCAATAATAATTTCAATCAATTATATAAATTAACAAAATTATGGACTTAAATATGCAGCTTATGCTATTTTATTATCTGCTAAGCTTATGCTATTTTACTGTCTGTTAAGTGGCAGCACACGCACAAAATAAAAGTCTCTACCCTCGTCTGAAGCAAACCAGGGAGGGACCGAGGGACCGTAAGAAGCCTATGCCATAGATTTCCTTTGTGGACTAAACTAATTCGTTTACCATGCTTATGGTGAATTGATAAAAGAGCCCAACAAAAACGAGAACAAAAAAATCGATCTAAAATCGTTAGTAAATAAAATCCAGACACTTTACAGGTAAGGCGCAACCACTTCGTTCAGCCTTGGACGGCCCCACTTCCGAAATAAATATTCAACACATTATGACAAATCCGGCTAAAATATGCAAGGGCCAATGGCCGCAGGTAGAAATGGCGGAAAAATAAAAGCCAACACCAATGGATCTGCCAGCAGAGAGTTGGCCCGAAAATTATGCATGAAATGGCTTTGGGCCAACGCAAAAAATAATATAAATATATAATAAAAAAAAAGCAGAGGCGAAAAGCAAACAAAGATAAATTCCACAGACTGTGCTAGGGTCCAGCCGCTGTCAATGTGCCGCTGGGCCATTAAGTGACGGAAGTAAATAAGCTTGACAAATTTCCACTCATCATTTTTGCATTAATTCAAGCTTCTTTAACGCATCCACAAAAAAAGAAATGTCCTTTGATTAATCAAAAAATTTGCCACAGCAGCCCACGGGGGCAGCGGAGTGAAAAAGGGAGCGCAAGACAAACACAACAAATTACCCAAAGAGGCGCCGTCGGCATTCCGTGTGGCATTTGTGGCACAGGCGCCAACAAGCACACACACACACACAGCCCAACAATAGCAACAACAACACATGAGACACGGCAGCTCCACCCATACACACCCCCCAAACTCCCACACACCCAAACCCCAAACTCCGATTGTTCGCTGCGGCTTGCGGCAGCTTTGGAGACATAAAATCCAACGCTTTCAAAAACATTCAAAACTGAAAAAAAAAAAATGCAAAGAAGAAAAGATTTCCCAGATTTTAGCACGCGATTTGTCAAGCTGACATTTCCGACGTCACAACGTCGCAACGTCGCAACGACGCCGGCGTTGCCCGAGAATTGGAATCATGTTTTTGTTGCCACAAACGAACTTCAACTTCAAACAGCCGGCGAGCGACAGGACCCGAGTTGATTTAGTAAGTCACGTGGCCGCATAACTGTAAATTGCCAGGTCCTGTGTCGGTTGCCAGTCCTCGTTCTGGTCCCCATCCTGTCTAGGGTGGTGTTGGTGTTCTGGCAATGCCAGAGCGTGTGAAATAAACTGTCGCTGCGTGCGTCCGACTATGTTTTTGTTACCTCTCTAATACCCTTGTGGAGAGCATTTCGGAGTGATGTGTCACACACCGACCCGATAAGGTCTGTATTTTCGTTCAACATCATTTGCATCTTGGCTGTAAGTTGATCTTGATGTATATAGAAATATATGTACATTTTTTTTGTAGGCCAGATTCGATCCGAAGAATCCCAAAATAATTAAGATAAGTTCCTGTCTAGTGAGGATCGGATAAACCGGAATTGCAATCGGAATCGAACCTAGCTAAATAAGTGAAGATGTACGAATCAAAGTGTTATTAAACTAATTTTTTGATACATAACTTCAATTTTTTAGTCGACTTTTCTAATCTGCAAGGGAATGTAATCTTCGGCTAGCCTAAGAAATCGGTTCTTTCTTCTTCCGCACAGTCATTTTTGTTGGCCCAAAAACGTTTTTGGACCCAATTTTAGCCTGCGGCCAAGTGGGCGAGCAGCCCACAACTGAAAGCGAGACAGACATTTGGCCCCGATAAAAGATAAGCCCAGCGAACGAGAAGAGCTCTGAGTCTTATGTGTAGGAATACATATGCAGGCAGTGTGAAAGAGGAATGGCTCTTATACTTTTAAAAACACACATAAGTATGGTTTTGTAATTTAGGCAAAGAAAATGTTTCAAATTAAATGAAAACATGCAACGCCACTTGGACCGGTGTCGACATGTAGTTTTTGGCAAATGAAATAAAAGCAAAACGACATTACCTGATACCACAGTCAGGTGCTTTCTAAAGATTAATTCCCAACCAAAGCCAGCGGCGCGAAAACTTAAAGCCACTTCAATAAATTTGTAATTTCGTAGTTATATATTAATTTACATGTTGTAAAACACAATCTAGGCCAACCCACACAATACTGCTGTAGATATGTTAAATTTCAAATATTATATAATTTAAATTTAGTGCACTGCACTTATAATATGCAACAATGGAAATCATTGAATAGAGATAAAAAAAAAACGTTATATTCTGCTTTCCACATTTGATCAACATATTTACCTAATTTATTGCCATTAAAATAATTACTCTTCATTAAATGTACTCATTGTTATCAATACTCACAGTAAGTCAAATTATGAAGTAGATATTTTTGTAATTATATTTTCGCAAAAAAAAACAAAAACTATTGTAAAATTTAACAAGTTTTTTTCAAAAGGCTCTCTAATTTTATTTGCACAATTGACACGCATACTTCTCTGCTTGCAATATATGCAAGGCATATATTTTGATACAGAGATGGTCAACACGAATTGTTTTTAAATTGAATATTTGGCCTAACGGTCGCCGTGTCATTCTGTCAACATGAACTCCAAGCCAACATGAAATTCATTCAAATAACCCAAGTAAAATCCACTTAAAAATACAACACATACAACGGTTAGTGAGTCATGCAACTCCACAAATAAAGTGCGATATAAAAACTCTTGTTTTTACTAGTACCATGGCATATCTGTTGTCCTACGGTGATTTTTGCAATTTATTCAAACACATGTGTATTATTTTAAGCAGTGATTGAAAATGATATGCTCCTTCACAGTTTTTCGTCGGAATCGTAATAGCAGCTTAGATCGCTGATCTAATAACAACACAAAAATACGTTTGCTATAGCAATAACCCAAGCTTTTGCTCTGCTCCCGTATTTTTTTTTTTTTTGTAATGCAACAACTACAGAGAGCACAATGAACTCTTGCAAATGTTATTGCTCTTACAATTGATGGAGCATTCATTTCAGTTTTCTGCTATTGACGCTCTTCTTGCTCCATTGAAATTCATAGCAGTAGCATTAATTCGACGCTTCGGAGTAATAAACTCAAATATGCTGGTCGAATTCATATACAAAAATAACTCAATAAATGGGAACAATTATATACATAGCAGCATCTCTGTGTTTGGCAGCTTAGTTTTTTTTTTTTTTGCATTAACATTCTTTATTTAATTGATAAATATATGACAGTATTTCTGAGAAAATGTATCCTTTAGAAATAGAATTCTATTTTTAAAATGGTAAGCATATGAATTCTGGATAATTTGAATTTCTATAAATATATCTTTGATAAGAATAACAATCATTTAAATATAAGATAGATAATGTTTATTAAATTTGCAGATTCTGATTAGAATATGCCTGATTTATTTTTAGATCTAAATGGCCGGCAAGTACAAAAGCAGCGCCTGTCAGAGCGCTTTATGCAAATGAGTCAAGTCACGACAGTTGAGGGGCGTCGCATTGATTTTCCATTTGAGCCATGGCTGTCAGTCAAAGTGTCGCGTGCCAGATAGGCATCACAAACAGTCCTGCCGGACTCCCACTCTGCTCCGGGCCGTACATGACATGCGTTCAGCGCGATGATGGCAATTTAAACAAGCGCAACATTTCCGTTATTTGTTGCGATACCCTGCATCCAGCAAATATATACAAAAAAATAAGGAAAAGAGGAGCAATATTATAAAGTACTTTATGATACTCATAGGTACTTGATGTAAACTCAATGCAGAGCTGGATAATGAAGTATGATAAAACCACTATGCACAAGTTCCAGCTTCACACACATTTGGATGACTCTTTTAGCTTTTTTCTGATCGTTAAAAAGTAATTACCGAATGCATTTTTAAAGTAACATTTTTAATTTTTTTTACACTTGTATTTTGAATATTTACAATTATTATTTGTGTTTAATATAAATAATATATTTTTATATTCTTTAATTTAAGGTACAAAGACTGTTATATAAGTTTATATTTATTATAAAGTATACCATTATAAAATATAAAAAATAATATGAAATAAATGTCTCACATTATAGATTTGCTCCATATACTAT